GGACACTCGTTTCTTGCTGCGGGAGCACTTCATTTGTAGTGATATATCTTCAGTTCCTAGAGCTTGTAATGCTGTGGCACATGAGTTAGCCAAGTATGCTATGTGTGGGGACCTGGACGAGCTTCATGTGTGGGCAAACCCTCTCCCGGAATTTGTAAAGACTCTTGTTGCTTGCGATTTGGTCGAGCCTGTGTTGCCAATAGTAAGGCCATAGAGCCAAAATTTGCATTCAAAAAAAAAAAAAAAAGCAAAGGCCACCAATCAAAGCATAATGATTTGGTTTCCTGTATCCCATAGGCCTATAATAAAAGCAACCATAAGATTAGCGAGGAACTCTAGCATCAGCCTCTCTCTCAAAGTTGCTACTAATAAAGACCTATTGAAATCGCCCTAAAAAAACATATTGAGATCAGACCTATTGAGATCGTCCTAAAAAAACATATTGAGATCGGACGACTAGTCAGTAGTCATGAACCCTGCGGTTGGCATGCAGTTACTCCAACCTTGCCGTTGCCGGCATTTGCTTCTCCCTCGCCGGCGCCGGCCGCCAGCGATGCGGTTGAGCATGCAAAGTACTCGTCGGCGTGCTCCTGCTCCTCCATGCACTTCTTGAGGCTGGCGGCGGCCTCCAGGCAGGGGAGCGGCAGCGTCGTCGTCGTCATGGCGCCAGCCGCCACGCACTCCTCGAGTGCCACGAAGGCGTCCTTGCAGACCTTGCACAAAAAAAAAAAAATAAAAAGATCAGAGCATCAACAAGAGTGCAAACGCAGTTTTTTGCACTAGGTCCCTCTGGCAGGGTTTAGACTTCTTTAAAAATGGAGAAGACAGAAAAAAAAAACGTTTTCATGGCTTTGGTAAGCCAATATTGGTTTTGGCTTGGCAAGCCATTCGTACCGCTTATCAGAACTTTTGATTATATAAGTCGGTGGAAAAGCCTCAATAAAACTTTGTCAAAGAGAGAGCCTAGTTCCGATCATTACTGCTTAACCAAGACGAGTTTGGGACTAAGAGGCTTCGCTGCTGTTAGGTAAGGGCTCGTTTGGATGCCCATATATCCATCTTAACGCATGTATGTTCCGGTGAATATATAAAGATTCAAACAAGGTATAAATTGGAGCAATTGATAAATGATAATTCCACGGTCCAAACTAAAGCGTCATGACCCAATAGCAAATCGAAGGCCAACAGTGAAGGGATGAGAGACGTCTCATAAGTTCCATCTTGGCCGCTGCCTTCTGCACCTTCATAAGCTCCAACACCTGCACAACCACGGGTGAGCCACCCCGCCGTATATATATATATATCGTACTTATATATGTAAGGAAAATAACCGACAGATCGAGCAGTCACCAACCAAGCCGCGATTAGCATTATTAGAATCTGCTTCTCCCTCGCCGGCGCTGGCGCCGGCGCCGGAAGCCATGAGGTCGAGCGTGTGCGCGTACTCGCCGGCGTTCTCCTCCATGCACTTCTTGAGGCTGTCCGCGGCGTCGAGGCAGGGAAGCGGCTGTGTCGTCGTCGTCGGCGTACCAGAGCCGTCCTTCACCGCCGCCGCCACGCACTCCACGAGCGCCACGAAGGCGTCGTTGCAGCCCCCTGACGCCATTGCCGCTGTCTGCTGCGATCGCTTTTTTTCAAGGCTGTTTTCTTTGATTGCTTGTTGGCTTCTTGCTTGCCATATATATATTGGCCCGTCTGGCTAGTTCGGATCAGTTCCGATTCTAGTTGGAAACCAGAGAGAAACGCCGCCAAACGGAGTTTTGGAGACCAAGAATCGGAACTGGAACGTTCCAGGTTTTCTACGTTATTAGCACCAGAAACGGCTAGGACCTGGTTTCGCACGATTCTGATTCTCAGTCTACCTACTTCATATATTGATTTGCCAAAAAATAAGTGGAATAAATTAAATTTTGTTTAAGTTGTTCTTCACCAACAACAAGTTTTGAATTTTTTTTAAGCATATTTTCATTTATATATTTTTTATGAATCAGAATTCAGCATACTAATCAAACAATCTCATAAAATGATTATGATTCATCACCTGAAATATTTTTTGAAAAAATCTAGATCACGAAATTTTTTTGAAATGGAAACAGCATTCCATTACTCATGGGCTGCACTCACTTTTTGCCGATGACTCTTTGATTCTCATTCGTGCAAACGAGGAGGATGCTATGCAATTACGCAGTATATTGGATTTATATGAGCATTGTTTTCTGGTCAAGTCATTAATAAAGGCAAGTCGGCTGTACTCTTTAGCTCCAATGCCAACCAAATGGACAGGGACCATGTGAAACAAGAACTGCAAATTGAAAAGGAAACAATGAATGAAAAATACCTTGGCTTGCCGGTTCATGTGGGTCGGTCCAAGGGTGGGACATTTGCATATTTGAAGGATCGGATATGGCAGCGTATACAAGGTTGGAAAGAAAAGATGCTGTCATGGACGGGAAAGGAAATTCTTATTAAGGCAGTAGCCCAAGCCATTCCCACTTTTGCTATGGGATGTTTCGAGTTGACAAAGGGACTATGTGATCAAATAAGTAGTATGATCTGTCGCTACTGGTGGAATCAGCAGGAGGGTAAACATAAAATCCACTGGCTCAGTTGGGAGAAGATGATCAAGCCGAAAAATGATGGAGGCTTGGGATTCAGAGACAATCTATGCTTTCAACCTTGCAGTGCTCGCTAAACAAGGTTGGCGGCTGATACAAAATCCAAGCTCTCTGTGTGCGCAAATTTTGAAAGCAAAATAGTACCCAAACTCATCATGCTTGCTGGCGTCACCAAAAGACGGGATCTCTTACACATGGCGTAGCATACTGAAAGGTATATCCACACTGAAGGAAGGGACAATATGGCGCATCGGGGATGGAGAAGGGATTGACATATGGAAGGACCCTTGGCTTCCAAAGGAATTCATCCGCAGGCCGATCACTCCTCGGGGCAACACCCTACTGCGTCAAGTATCTGAGCTCATTGATCCTATCACCGGGGATTGGGATGTCCAGCTGGTCCAGCAGACGTTCTGGGAAGAGGATGCGCGAATCATTTTGGCCTTGCCGGTTAACACATCAAGGGAGAACTCGGTGGCCTGGCACTATGACCACAGAGGTCTCTTTTCAGTAAGAAGCGCCTACAGTCTGCAGACAGAGCCTACTGCGTAAACAACATCGCAACTGTGGCGCATCTAGTTCAGGTTCGTCAAATCAGCAAGATATCCTGTGGAAGAAAATCTGGAATTTGGATGTCCCAGACAAGATCAAACATTTTATGTGGAGAGTTGCACACAACAGTCACCCTCTAAGAGCAAATTTGGAATTCCGTGGGATGGACATAGATAATAGATGTGTTGTCTGTCACGAGAAAGGGGAGGATGGAGGCCACCTCTTCTTCAAGTGTCCCATGGTTACAGAAATTTGGGCTGTTTTGGGAATGGAAGAATACAGGAAGAACTTGGCTGCTATCGAATCCGCTCCGGAAGTAGTCCGGCTTATCACGGAACTGAATAACAATGCTGTGGGGATGTGGTCGTGGTGGGCGGAGATGAACAGAATAAGAGAGGAGGGGCAAAGGAGATCAGTGCCTATGGCTCTTATCGGCTGGTCTATATCAAGGCCTATGTTGGGGAACTCACACAAACTCTAGTGCATGAACAAAAACAAATAAGTGGGAGAGAGCAGGTTTGGGAAAGACCACCGCAAGGAATCCTACCACAAGGACTCAGGTAATGGAGGTTGGGGATATATCATACGTGACGAAGATGGTGATGCGGTTTCTGCTGGGCGAGGTCGCCTGAACCCTTCCATGCGGAAGTGGTAGCTTGTCTGCACTGCAGGGTGTGTACTAGTGAAACAAGCAGATGCCTATCAAACAGCCGGTACTCTGCTGCTACAGGATGAAAACGGTCGGAAACGGTCGAAAAACTCCTAAATTGTTTTCTATTTTTACATTTGAAAAACGAAAACGAAAGCGAAAACAGTAAAACCGGACACGAAAACGAACGCGAACTTACGAATTATCGAGAATTTCGAAAACGAACCAATTCGAGCGGATTTATGTCGAACACGGTCGATATACGAAAACTCAATACGGAATACCGACCCGTAGACCAAGTGCATGACTAAGTGCATACATGATCAAGTTCAAGTGCATATAATAATTAACAAGTGCATATTATAAAAACATGAACTCGAACTGAGTTAGAATAATTTTATTAATCTTTTTAGAATAGATGTAGTATTTTATTTTAAAGATTTATTCAGATTTTTCTTTTGAGTAACAAAGATTTATTCGGCTAATGCAAAAACTATCAAATGATTGACTTTGCAGGTGGAGGTTAAACCGATGAGCTTGATGGGCTATGGCCTAGGTGGGCTTTCATGTAGATGCTGCTGGTTTTCTGACATTTAGCACCATCTCATAAGGTGAAGAGAGATGAGGCTGGGCGCCGTCTATAAGAGATGGCATCTGGCCACCAGTAGAAAGAACGTAGCTGCGTGGTGAACAACCTGTAATTGGGTTGTATGACCTGTGCAGCTGGCCAAATTCGGTTTAAACCGAATTTTCAATTCGGAATATTTCAAATTAAAAGTAGAAATGTAGAAAACGGTCGAAAAATGTCTAAACCGTTTTCTACTTTTACATTTGAAATACGAAACATCTGAAATGCGAAAGCGAAAACGGTAAAGTCGGACAAGAAAATGTGGATTCGATCGGATTAAATATAGAAAACGATGCGCTTCGGTTCGGGATATTTCCGTTTCGTTTTCATCCTTAGCTACTAGTCCTGCCGCCGTACGAGATGGGCCCATCAATTCGCGTTTCAGGCCCACAGACTCATGGGCCGCTCGGCGCAGCGGGCCCATCAGATAGCGGATAAGAAGAGGAAACTTAGATATACTCTATTTATTTATCGGCGGCGAGAGGCTGCACTGCCTGTCTGCCACCGCCACTGGACTTGTGCTCCCTCCGCTCCGGCCTTTCTCGCTTCTCCGGCCATGGCCGCCGCCGTCCCAGCCACCTTCCGCACCCTGCTCCAGCACGCGGTGGCTGGCGGCGTCCCCGTCCCGCTTCCCAGCGTCCGGTTCCAGAGCCTGCAGCGCCACCGCGTCGGCCTCCGCCTCCTCGCGCCACCGCGTGGGCGCCCCGTCCTACTCCCGCCCGTCGCCGCCGCTGCAGCCGGCGAGGAATTCTCTTCCGACGGAGAGGATTTCGCCTGCGACGAGGGCGAGGAGTTCTTCGACGAGGAAGAGGGCTCCGAGCCGGAGGAAGCCGAGGCCTCGCGCGCCTACTCGCCGCCACGAAGCCGCCCGACGCGCGGCGACGAGCCCGGTCGGCTCTTCGTCGGCAACCTGCCCTATACCTATACCTCCGAGGAGCTCGCTCAGGTCTTCGCTGAGGCCGGCAGGGTCGACGACGCGCAGGTACCCGTATCAATCCCATGTTCCCAGCCAAAATCCCTTAGAGCTCGTTCGTTTTCAGCAAAATGACACGCGGAATCATTCCAGCTAACAAAAACTTATACAAATTGACTAACGATTCCGGTCTGGAATTCTTCCAGGGGTGATTCCCGGGAAAACGAACGGGGCCTTATTGTTCTGCCTCCTGTAACCATTCCTGAACAGTATCATCATTCGTCGCTGACGTTCCATTTCCTATGCAGATAATCTATGACAAGGTGACCAACAGGAGCCGGGGCTTCGCCTTCGTCACCATGGCCACCGCCGAGGAGGCCGCCAAGGCCATCCAGATGTTCAACGGCGCCGTAAGTACTGCACCGGCAAATTGGATCAGTACTTTCTCAGTTCACAGAATTGGGGTCTTGCTCTTGCATATGTGTGTTTTGACATGATCTTGGCACATTTGTCTTCAAAATGCAGCTGCTGGGAGGGAGGACGGCTAGGGTGAACTACCCGGAGGTGCCGCGTGGCGGGGAGAGGAGAACGGTCACCATGGCTGGCCGCAGGCGTGACAATGGCACATACAAGATTTATGCCGGCAACCTGGGCTGGGGAGTGCGTGCCGACACATTGAGGAATGTGTTTGAGGGTCGGGCCGGCTTGGTCGATGCCAGGGTCATCTTTGAGCGTGAGACTGGCCGCTCCAGAGGGTTTGGGTTCGTCTCCTTCAGGACCGCAGAGGATGCACAGGCTGCATTGGAGGCTTTGGATGGAGTGGTATGTTCTGTCTTCATCTAGGGCAATGTTGTTCAGTGCCCATTACATCTCTTTATTAGTAGTAGATATATGCAAATGCCAACTGATGCAGTAGCATTGCTATGTGTGGCCTGTGGGTACTTCTAATTGAATCATCAAATTATAGCACACAAGGTAAGCTAACATATGAATTTCTCAGTGTGAAATAATGATGGGCTGGACTGGACAGTGTCTAGTTCATAGTTGCTTATTGCACTTCGTCCAAGTAGCATGTGAATAAGTGAATTGTGATTTACTTGAGTGTATACCTTCATAGTTCACATTACTTGAGTCACCATGGTCTTGTTGTAGCAGTGGTTAACATGGTTATGGAATGGCAATGCAGGAACTGGAAGGGAGGCCGCTTCGCCTTAGTCTGGCGGAACAGAATCCACCACCTGGTCCTCCACCTAGTACTGCGCAGGCACAGCAGGAAGAAACCGATTCAGGCACATCTGATGCAGAGACTGAAGCAGCCAGTTCTTCAGAATTATCTGAAGCAGAGTTGGACGATAGCAACTTGCAGACAGCTGCAACTTATTAATAAGCAGGAGCCATGGGTTATATATGTGTTGTAATGACTTCTAAGTTCTGCCATTCAAGTCCAAGGTGTACTGATAGGAGCAAATTTTTTGACACAAGTGATGCTGTAGCGAGGATTCAGCATTTGAGCTATAAATCTGATAGAATGTATTAGATATTAGGAACTGCCGTATTTGTGTAATGAGTTCTGCAAAATATGATCTGAATTGTAATTGTGTAGCCTTCCGCTTACTGTAAACTGATCCTTTTCAAATGTTCTATTTTGTTAGTGTCTGGTCAACTCAGGTTTTATTTGATAGGCCATTTTTCAAATGAACTGGAGCAATATAAGAGGTATAAACTATTTTCAATTGACATTTGAAAGATGTAATGAATAGAAGTTGTAGTTTTATTTTGTGCAAACTCAGTAAAAAGAACAGTTTAAATGATTTGAGGTCATAGCCCCAGTAGGGTTGTACAGTCAGAACGCTCCTGACATGTCATCAGGTTTGGGACATGGCACAATTGGCAGTGACGACAAAAAGTATAGCAGACCAAAAAATATTTCATAGGCATATTGGAAGTTGTAACATGAAAGCATGAAACTAAGGCCCTCTTTGGCATGACTCAAACTCTGGGTGGAGCTGCTCCACTCCAGAACTCTAGGTGGAGTTAGCTCTGGGTGAAGTTGAAGCTGTCTGATGATAGTGTTTGGCTGGGAGGGTGTCCCCAGCTCCAGAAAAGATGAGTTTGATGGTAAATTGCCATTCTTGCTCCTGGTTCGACTTGAACTACTTCTCACAAATATGAAATGAAAGTACATGCAGTGGGGTCCAAAATAATAATAAATTACATGTCATTTGCCTAGAACCGAAATTACGAAATAAGTTCATAGTTCCAAAATAAGATCGTTACAATAATTATTGCACTAATTCCATGCTAGGGCAATGGATGTAGCCATATTATTGCGAAAGGTGTCCATAGTCACAAAGCTTGATTCCGAAGTTGATCCATCAGAGGCATGTTGAGACACGGCATACTTGTTGTACCTTTCCGGAATAGTAGGCATGTAGGTAGGATCTCTATCAAAATTAGCAAAGTCCACATCAACACTAGCATGTTCACGTATGAAATTGTGTAGGACCATGGTAGCAGCAACAATCTTCTTTTGTGTGACCATTGAATAACCGGGCATCTTGTAAAGGATTTGCCATTTCATTTTTAATACTCCAAATGAGCGCTCAATAACATTACGAACAGATGAGTGTATACGGTTGAACTTCTCTTTTCCAACTTGTTCGGCAAACAACATACACATCACTTGAGTGTTCTCCGAGTTCCAATCAATTTCAGGCATCTATCGAGCTCACAAATTTCATATATGAGGTTCTCATTATGCTGAGCAATTTCAACCGGAATATACTGAACCGCCAACAGGCTATTTTCAGCAATCTAGAATAATTCATCAATCTATAACAGAGCATGCAGCCCAATTCATGTAATTGCAGAGCATCGATCTACAACAGAGCATGCATCCCAAAAACAAAGCAGGCACCATACCTTGGGGGGCCTCTGCGGACGGCTGTTGGCGGGCCTCTGCGGCCATCGGTGGGGGGCTACGGCCAGTGGGGGATATCCAGCGGCGTGGGGCAGCGGCCGGCGTCGAGGCTTCTGCGGCAGGCGGGACTCGTGCAGACGTGGAGGGAGGCGGAGCTAGGCGGCCGGGCGGGGGATCTCCGACGTCAGGGCTTCTGCGGCCGGCGGCGGTCCTCGCGCAGACATGGCGGGAGGCGGAGCTTCTGCGGCCAGGCGAGGGATCTCCGGCGTCGGCGCTTCTGCGACCAGCATCGGGGCTTCTGCGGCAGGCGGCGGGCCTCGTGCAGACGTGGCGGGAGGCGGAGCTACGCGGCCTGACGGGGCTTGGAGAACGGCAGCGGGGCTCGGCCGGCCAGCGGTGGGGGTGGACGGCGGCCGCCTGTTTGCCTGGCGGCGGCAGAAACCCTAACGGGCGGTCTCGCGAGAAGAGAACAGAGGGAGGCTCGGTATGGGGAAAATGAGATGCGCGCGGGGGGGGGGGGACTCAGAGAATAGAAGCGAAACGTTTTTCTGTGTAACCAGTGGCATTGGTGGGTAATTACCCACCAACTCTACGAGGAGGTTCAAAAGAGAGGGTTCTGAAGCAGCAAAAGAGGTGCTCCAAAACTCCACCTCTATTTGCACTACAACTCCATGAAGTTAGCAGCTCCATGGAGTTTTGGAGTTGGGGTGTTTGGCTGGATTTTTAATGGAGTTACTGGAGTTTAGGAGTGGAGCCATGCCAAACAGGCCCTAAACATCAATCAAAAGGAAATATTTAAAAAAAAACATCACTCTGCCATCAGCTATCCTGGACGGTAGTACCACTCTCAAGCTGTGCATTCGCAGATGCATCAATATCCTGAGGAAAGAAGAGCCTGCAAGGTTGGCAGATCCATAAATCACGTATTTGCATCAATTAAAAGATGACTAAGGAACACCACAGAGCTGGAGCTTGAAATAAGCAACATGATATATCCATAAGCATTAGGGGAACATGGGTTGTTTCTAGTTACTAATAACCAGTGGAAAATTCTCAGGTTGGTACAAAGTTATCTTACCTGCATGTGTTGTGGTACAGAGTTCTACTCAGGCCTTCTATGTCAGAAATTCCTTTGCATCCAGCCACTACCTCAAGAACTTGCCTGAAATGGATAGTTATGAGTCAAATTTTCTGGGGGCAAAAATCATGTGCAAATAAAATTTGAGTAACAAATAAGGCTGACGAGTTCAGTTCACAGTACAATAACAGTGGAACAATCATGACTTAGGGAATAAGGCTAATGAAGCACAAAACTGAATTATCAACCCTCAACATCATTGATCAGGATAGAAATATAAATTTCCATGTAAAAAGTACGTTTCTTGTTTAGTCTTTCTACAGAGAAGGGCATGAGTTAAGGTTGGATTACTTTGATGTTTCTACAGAGAAATCATGTAAAAGAATGGAGTACTTGAATGAGAAGCAAATAATCTCTACATAGGAAAGCAGTTGTCATAGTTAAAAACTCAGCAGCCAGTCTACACCGAGCAAGAGAACTTAAGAAATGATGGAAAACTGCTGCAACTTACCTGACTAAACAAGGCTCATTGCGACCTTTTACTGTTGAATCTGGCTCGTACTTTTCTTTCTTCTTGGATGGCCAGACAGATTTTACATACTGGCTTCCAGCATGAGTATTTCTTATGTCACAATATGGAGAATCTGTTTCTATCATCAACCTCTCAACAGGAATGCCTCGTAGAACCTCAAGATTTTCGTTAGTTTTCAGAGAGCAGCCATTAACACCTGCAACCATGATTCACAATTATCTGACCCAACTGGGAGATAATTAAATAATAAAATATCAAATTCACAGTTGCTTCAGTTATTTAATTGACAATTGAATCAAATGGAAATTTTCAACACAAAACTGAATAACAGAACATCAAATTCTACAGTTGCTTGATTCATAATTACTGAAGCAACTGTAGAATTTGAGGTTCTGTTATTTAATTATCTCCCAGTTGACAAAAGGAAATTTTCAACAAAGAACTGAATCACAAAGCGGAATTACAACAGAATTTGGAATAGCTTGTTGCAACTACTTAAAGTTAATTGACTGTCTTTACTCTGAAGTTATCATGTTGCAAGACATGCAGATTTTTATTGCCAGGTAAAGATATTTTACCTATAGACATCTTCTCAAAAGAAAGTAGCCTGTCCCGATCTTCCGCTGAGTCAGTGAAGGAATGTGTAACCCCACGAGGGAATCTGCCAAAGAGAAAAACAGACACAGAGATCAGGGAATAGTTATAAAACATAACAAGTGGATTGAAACGTAGGTAACTCCTATGACCAGTGTACTTTCAAATGTTCATTAAAACCTTTCAACTTTTTCATTAAAAAACAGAGAGCGTATCTAGCAGGGCATCATTGAGGAACATCACCTATGGAATACAGATTATATGCTACCTGTGCAAATTTCGTGTCATGATTTCACAGAAGTCTTCACCAGCAGCACGCATGTGAAGAAACATTGGCAGTTTTACTGCTTCAGCCAACTCAAATTGTTTCTCAAAGTACCTAATACAAAATAAATCACTCAGAAAATGAATAGATCAAATGCCAATTTGTGTGCATATGAGAACAAGACTATATACTTCTTTTGCACATCTGCTGGACAGAAGTGAAGTCTGTCATAATCCAAACCACATTCACCAACGGCAACGACCTAAAGAAATTGGAACCCATGTAAGATTGCAAGTTTTTTCCCTGGGGAGGAGGGTAGGGAGTGGGGACTGAAATAACCACCGAGTGGCTCATTACAAAAAGATCATATCTTCATATTTCAAAACTTAAAGACCGGTTCAAATATCTGTGCATGTCCTTTTGCTGAAACTGTCGATTGACAAGTAAATCATTGCACACTATATATTTCGCAAGCACAGATCAGGGTAAGGGTGTGTTTGCACCCCAACCCTCTTGATCTATACTTCGTTCTTGTTTCTGTTTCTCAAATACGCATGTACAGTTCATAATTTGCATTAAGAAGAAAATAGCGTAGATTACAAATACACCCAAGTAGCCAACACCAGCACTTCGTGCTTATAGAATCAAAGTTCTTGTTTACTACCACTAGAACCAATGTTTTCAAGGCGGTAAGGCGAGGCGTGGCGACTGACTACCGCCTTATGCTTAAGCGACTAAGGCGTGAGGCGAGGCGACGCCTTAACATCTTAAAGGAATCTTAAAAGAGCAGCTTAGAGTGGTAAATAATGAAGAAAAACAAAAAGGAAAAAGCAAAAAGAAAGGAGAAGGAGCAAGAAGTAGTCTAGCCCAGCCCACCAGGCAGCCCATATACCCCTCACCTTTGACCTTCCTGCTTCATCTCTCGGACTCCCAATCCTCTCTCTCCAGCGCCGCCGCACCTCTCTCTCTCTCTCTCGTTCTCCACTGCTGCTCCGCCTCCACCCCTCTCTGTCTCTTGCTTCCCTCTCTCCTCCAGATGTGCTGCTCTTCTTGCTTGATAGACGGAGGAACAGAAGGGCTTTGGACGCTGCAACTCGATGGAGGAACAGAGGAGGCAAGATGTTGCAGGTCAGCGCCGATTGGGGGAACATGGCCGCAGCCCGCACAGGCGGCCGCACGGCTCGGCGGCGGGCGGGCAGCAACTTCTCCCGTCGGCGCGGGAGAACGCGTCTGCACGGGCGAGCTGCGGCTTCTGGTTCCCCTCCCGCTCTCCTGCTGGTGAATCTCCTGCACGCCCGCTCTCTCTCCCTCCCTCCGGCGCGCTCTGTTTCTCCTACGCACCCCTTCTCTCTCAGTTTTCCCCGCCGTTTCCAATCCTTCTCACGTGTTTTCCCGCCGCCCAGAACAGAGGCCTCCCCGTAAGGCGAGTTGTCTGCTGTGGAGTGACTTTCCCCGTCCTTTCTCTCGCGCCCGCGTTTTCCTACCGTGGCCATCCCCGTATGGCGCCCGCCTTGCTCGATTTCGACGAATCGGACGCCAAATCGACGACTTCCGGACGCCATGGTAGTAAGGCGGATGCCATACCAATCTGAGGCGAGTCGTCCGCCAAGTCGTCCCGCCTGTAGCGCCTTGCCGATTAGGCGACGCCAAAGCGACGCCTTAAAAACATTGACTAGAACTGATTTAGCTCTTTTTTCTTTTACATATTTATGATGTCCAATTTCTTGTGGCTCTAGATGGGTTTCATCTCTAGCCTAATCCAACTTGCTTAGGACAAAAAGGTCTATTGTTGTTTCAGGGTCATGTGAACTTTGTGTTAGATCATTGATTTATATAGCATTGTTTAAGTAAGAACCTGTGAGAACATTCAATAGCTCCAATCCTAACACATGACTGAATAACTGTCCCTAGCAATCTATCAATATAGGATACAAGAAAACAATAGTCACACCACTTTTTGCCTGCTGGGAAACAATATAACCATACACAACCTTGCCTTTCTCTATACCCTCCTTCGCTAGAGCCAGCAGTGCTTGAAAATGACCCTCGGGGTCTCCACTCTCCTCGAACTCCTAAGCATCCAAAATGCACCGGATAAGGAAACAGCAGAACCACTAAACAACAATAGCAAATACCAATCGAAAAATTCCAGCTACCCCGCATCTCGTCGGGTGCACGCCCACAGTGCAGAACAGCCTCCCTGCATTGCACACACACAAGACAGCTTCTTAGGTGCATTTCACCGAACACCTTACAAGCACCACCAAGCACAGCAGAAGTCCAAGAACCACAGCAAGCAGGCAAGCCGCTGAGCTTACCGTCGGTCTCGGCGATCTCCAACGCCTCCCTGGACTCTTTCAGGGAGCCTCCGGTGACCTGCCACCCCACCAAAACCAGGAAGGCAAGAAATTAATTACCAGGAAACCGAGGCGAGAGGCGGCGAGAAGGCATGCTTACAATGATGCGGTCGACGCCGGCAGCCCACGCGCGCGCAAGTACGGCCGGGATGTCAGCGGCATGGCACTGCTTGCCGTGGTAGATGCCCTTGAACATGCCATCTTCACGGCAGTACGGCGCATGCCACGCGGGGGAAAAAGAGAGAGGCACAAGAGTCAGCCAACCAGTTGTGAGGCAAGCACTAAAAAAAGATAAAAATGGAGGATATTTGGAAGCATGAGTTACCAGTGAAGTTGACTGCGATGTCTGGTGCGGGGGTCGCCGCGGCCGGAGACGGGGAGGAAGGTCGGTGGAGGGCAAGGTGAAGGCAGAGGGTCAGTCCGGGTTAGAGAGGGACGATACAGGACGGCGCGGTGGGAAAGGGAGCGGAGGAACTTGCCGATGAGCTTGACGGCGGTGGACGCCATGGCCGCGGAGCGCAAGGAGGGCGGAGATGGAGCCAATCGGACTCTTAAAAAGGCAAAATTAACGGAGTTCTTTTTTTTTTACAGGAAAAAGTGCCTGAGAAAGCACTACTTGGGCTATGCCAAGTCCAATTCTAGCCCGTCATGACTCATGAGCGCACTTCACCTAATGGGCCTAACTGCATTTCCACAATAGAAATCCTCTAACCTGTCTTGGGAGTTAACGGGCCTACTAGTGCTGTACTGCATACCCCCTCGCCCCAAAAGAAAAGGAAAAAGTCATTTTTACCTCCCTGAGCTATTGGGCGGGTTCGTTTTTCCTCTCTCAACTCCAAAACCGGGCATTTAGACTCCCTGAACTGTTAAAACCGGACACGAAACCTCCCTGTACCGCTTGTCAGGCCATTGAGGGTGGTCAAAATGTGCCCGTGACCACCTGTAACCCTAGCTGGGATTCTTTTTCTTTTCCCTCGGAGGCGGGCGGCTGGTGGGTGGTGCGCACGTGCCGTTGCAGTAGGCGGATCTGGTGGGTGCCCAGATGATTCAGAAGGCCTTTGCTGCCACAAAGCGCACCAGGTTTGTGGAATCGCACTCCTAATGAGTCAATTAGGCATAGAATAATTGTTTTTTTCTTGGATCTGGGTTCCCTGGGACTTGCTTTTTGGAGATCCATTGTTTATTAGGCATAGGAGACGAGAGCTACCAGTTTTTTTGGTGCTCTTTACTTGCATCTACATTAGTGGATTAATGAAGGGGCAGACCCAGTGCTGGAGGCTCCCACATGAGTGGGGTCTGGGGAAGGGAAAAACTGAGGCAAGCCTTTCCCCCGCAAAATATACAGAGAGACTGCTTCGAACCCATGACCTGGTGACTCAGTGAGACAGCTCTCACCACTGCACCAGGCCTGCCCTTCAGTGGGATTAATGAAGGCGTATTATTTTTTAATGTATGTAGGCCATGGATGTGTCGGACTCACTGGCTGTGAGGTTCCATTTTGGTGGAGAGTTTTTCAAAGATGGCAAGATACTGCATTATTTTCGAGGGAAGGCTGCAATGTCTTATATTGATCGAGACAAGATTTCTCTGCCAGAGGTTGTGGGACGCTTGTGTGATCATTACAATGTACATGATGGAGTTTTATTGCATTGGTTATTTCCTGGTAAAGAGCTACATGATGGTTTGCATGTACTGGTGGATGACAAAGTTTGCCAGTTCATGTCTGACTCCATTATGGACAGTGGAGTTGCAAATATATATGTTGAAGAGTCATCTGTTATTTCAGTGTCTGACGATGAGGGGAAGGGTACATACAAGAAGAAAGGCAAAGCAATTTAGGAAGAAGATTCAAGCTCAGGCTATGACAGTGATTTCATAGGAGATACATGCTCATCTGGAGATGATGAAGAAGCCGCTGAGATTCTAAAGAAATTCAAAGAATTGAAGAACTTGAAGAAAGGAGAACATGCTACACTAGATGATATCATTCTTGCAGAGAACAGATCGCAGCTAACAGAATATTTAGCCATTGAAGGGGAAGAAGATGGAACAGCATATGAGGAAAGTGATGATGAAGAGTCAGTTGAAGAGGTTGGTACTGATGGGGAACTGAGAAGGAAGCCAAGTCATTATAGGAGGTTCAATGCACAGTTTTTAGTTCCTATATTTGAAATAGGGATGAAGTTCAGTGGCAAGAAGGAGTTCAAGGAAGCTATCATAAAATATTGTCTAGCTAACATAAAGGTAATAAGGTTCATAAAAGATGAACCAACAAGGGTAAGGGCTAAATGTGACTGGCAGCATTGTCCTTGGGTTTGTTTGTGTTCTAAGAATTCAAGAACAGATAGCTGACAGATTGCTACATTCATTGATCAGCATACTTGTCCTCCTAGAATGGACAACAAGCATGTCACTACCAGGAGGATAGCTGAGAAGTACGAGAAGTTTATCATGGCAAACTCAACATGGAATATCACGAGGATGAAGAGTACTATCCAAGAAGAAATGTTTGCAGATGTAAGCATATCCAAGGTGAAGAAAGCAAAAGCTATGGTGATTCAGAAGGCCTTTGCTGCGACAAAGGGACAATATGAAAGGCTTTATGACTATCAACTGGAATTATTAAGGAGCAATCCTGGGAGCACGGTTGTAATTTACAAGGAGGATGATGTGGAGCCACTAATTTTTAGAAGGATATACATATGCCTTAATGCTTGCAAGGAGGGATTCATGGTAGGGTGTAGGAAAGTTGTTGGATTAGATGGTTGTTTTTTTAAAGGAGCACTGAGTGGGGAACTTCTTTGTGCTATTGGAAGAGATGCAAATAATCAGATGTATCCCATTGCCTGGGCTATGGTAGACAAGGAAAATAATGTCAATTGGGACTGGTTCTGTGACTTGCTGTGCAGAGACATTCAGGTTGGTGATGGAAGGGACTGGGTATTCATTTCAGACCAGCAAAAAGGTATTCTCAATGCTGTTGAGAAATGGGCACCAGAGGCGGAGCACAAGAACTGTGCAAGACATATTTATGCCAATTGGAAAAAAGAGTTCAGTGACAAAGAATGGCAGAAAAAATTCTGGGCATGTGCCAAGGCTCCCTGCATTATGCTTTTCAACCATCCAAGAGCCAGGCTAGCAGAAGACACTAGAAAAGGAGCTCAGGCAATCATGAAAACACACCCACAACACTAGAGTAGGGCCTGGTTCAGGTTAGGAAGCAACTGTGATTCAGTTGATAATAATATGTGTGAGTCATTTAATAAGTGGATAGTAGAAGCTAGATTTTTTCCAATCATTACTATGCTTGAGGCAATCAGAAGGAAGGTCATGATTAGGATTCAAGAGCAAGGGACCAAAGCAGATAGGTGGATGGGTGCCATATGCCCACATATCATGAGAAAGCTAAACACTTACATTACAATGGCCGGCTACTGTCATGCTATTAATAATGGAGCAGACAAGTTTGAAGTGAAACATTTTGACAATACGTTCACAGTTGACTTACAACAAAAGACATGCTCTTGTAGGTATTGGCAGCTAGCTGGTTTACCATGTTGTCATGCAATATCCAGCATATACTGGAAAACCAATGTTTTGGATGACTATATTGCAGATTGTTTCAGAGTAGAACACTTCAAAAATACTTATGCTCATTGTCTTGAACCTCTGGAAGGGATTGAAGGTTGGCCCATATCTGACAGGCCAAAGTTGAGGGCACCAGGTTATATTAAAATGCCTGGGCGACCTAAGAAAGAGAGGACAAGAGAACCAACTGAGAAGCCCAAAGCAACAAAAATGTCTAGGGTAGGCACTGTGATTAGGTGCGGAAAATGTAAAGGCACTGGACACAATGCTTCCACTTGTGGAAGGAGGACTGACTCTACTAAATCAGGTGGTGCACAGTCTGCTCAATCAGGTCCTGCTCATTCTAATCAACCTGCTGTCCCTCGTGCATCTCAAAATACAAATGTCGCAGTGCGTGTGCCATCTACCCAGCAAGATAGTAATGCAAGGAAAAGAAAGAGTTACACAACCTTGACTCACAGATCCGAAAGTTCAGATGGAATTACTACAATTAGGCAACAGGTAATACACTTGCTAGTAATGTTTGATAAGTTTACACACCAATTGTCAATATGTTCACATGTGCACATTTTCTATCTTTGTAGCCTCACAGAAGTTCTCTAGGTCTGGTTCACACTAGAGCGAAGGCAAATGTGGAGACTAGAGCTACTGCTCAAGCATCTGCTCAAGAACCAACAAAGAAACACCATGCTCAAGAACCAGCAAAGAAATGCAATGTGCCAATGCTTCTCCTTCCACCTTGGGACTCGGCCAAGCTGTGATTTTTATTTGAGTACCAGACTATGTGTCATTATGCTTTATTTGATGTACCAGACTTAATGTCCTTTAGCTATCTGCAAACACTTTGGATTTTATCTTGCCTTCGACCAAATTACTTTAGCAAAAATCAGAATCCATAAGAGTACGAAATACCAAATCTCACTCACCCAGCAAGCGACGAGCTCGAGCTCGGTCCTGGTACCTGCGGCCCGCGCTCAGCTCCGCCACCGCACGCTGCTGCGCTCAGCTTTGCCGCGCTCAGCTCCGCTCGCCGACCACCGCCGCACGACACAGGAATGAAGCGAGGAAGGAGAAAACTCAAATGACGAACGCCGGATGCGGTCACGGGCAAAACCACGGTGGTTTCGTGTACAGGGAGGTTTCGTGTCCGGTTTTAACAGTCCAGGGAGTCTAAATGCCCGGTTTTAGAGCTGAGGGAGGAAAAGCGAACCCGCCCAATAGTTCAGGGAGGTAAAAAAGACTTTTTCCAAAAGAAAAAAAGGTCCTTTTGAGCAACTCAATTTCTCTCGTCAGCTATAAAATAGGTTTTTATTTATACCTCCTTTAATTTTCAAAACCAATTATTTTTGCAGTTTTGATTGTGGTTTTCTTTTGCTGATGTGGCATCACTTTAAATTGTCCTACGTAGCGATATGTCAGCTAAGAGTGAGTAAAACGGATTACGTTCATAGCTTAGGGGTAAATCGAACTATGATTTTTTTCCAGAAAATTGTCCAAATATTTTTTAAATATGCAATTAAAAATCCTACAATTATGTACTCTGAAAAGTTCATAAAAATTTTAATTTAGCTCAAAAAAGTATGAAGCTAGTTTTGTATTTTCCCTAAAATCATTCTCTACCTTTTCGTGCCTAAATTAAAATTAATTAAATTTTATATGGACTTCTTTTGGTGCTTATTTGTTAGTAGTTGTTCTCACTATTCTATTACAATTAGTCTATATTGTTGATTCATTGAATTAAAACTTAATTAAATATATTAAATGCAGGGCAGGATGCATGCGGCCACCTACACTAACACAAGTACTTTGAAAACTTATCCAGTTCAGGGGACCATTCCGAACGATGATCTGATCCACCAGTGATTATACATAGTTCGGGTCATCAACATCGACTAATTATAATAGATAACAAGAGCTTC